TGCACAGAAACCATAACTCTTTCTTGACTCATAGTTTTTTTTTGCCCTTTGTTACTTTTCATTGTCCAGTGCATAACTTGAAAATAAATGGTTGGAATTCAAAGAAACTTCATACAATGGTCAAGGGCAGTGAGATGAAGTGCAGTGCAGCAGAACCATAATTCTATTTGGACTAATTACAGTAATTGCCCTTTGTTACTTTTTTTGTCCATTTCATAACTTGAAAATTAGTATTTGGAATTCAATACAACTCCATACAATGGTCAAGCGCAATGAGAGGAAGTGCAGTGTTCAATAAACATAATTCCATCTTCAGTATTTGTAGTTATAGCCCTTTGTTCCTTTTCCTTGTCAGGTGCATAACCTAAAAAAATAATGTTTAGAATTCAAAGAAACTTCATTCAATGGTCAAGCAAAATGAGAGGAAGTGCAGTGCTCAAGAAGGCAAGCGTAACTTTTTTTGACTTATTACAGAGTAATTCAATAAATTCAATGGTCAACTACATTGAAAGGAAATGCAACATACAAGAATTACAACTATCTTTAATTGCCTACAACCATAACTCTATTTCAGTTCTTTTGCAAGGTATTATGTTACTAGTGACTTCCTGATTAATTTTCTGAAGCAGTCTTGCGGGGGGGAGGTTTTATGTTTGTAACAAATGAATTAATGAAGATGATTTAGATGCTGGCATTTAAAACAGTCTGGTTTTTTAAGATCTGTACATTAAGGAAGAAGTCATATAAGTTGAATAAGGCATTTCTTGATTCACCTGTCATTGAATGTTCTGACTTCACTTTACAGGTTTGATACTGACACTATTACATTTGATGTTGTATGGTTTTAGGATGTCAAAGTTCTATTCTCCATTAAATCAAAAATCTTGATTATGTTTAACTTTTATGAGTGTCGTCTCCCTTTTAGAGGCTTGCGTTAACTTAAATAAGTGATATTAGAGGCCATTGTTTAATTTTGAGTATTCTTTAGAGGCTAGTGTTTAATTTTGAATGTACTTTATAGGCTAGTGTTTAATTTTGAATGTACTTTATAGGCTAGTGTTTAATTTTGAATGTTCTTTAGAGGCTAGTGTTTAATTTTGAATGCTCTTTAGAGGCTAGTGTTTAATTTTGAATGTTCTTTAGAGGCTAGTGTTTAATTTTGAATGTTCTTTAGAGGCTAGTGTTTGATTTTGAATGTTCTTTAGAGGCTAGTGTCTAATTTTGAATGTATTTTATAGGCTAGTGTTTAATTTTAAATGTACTTTATAGGCTAGTGTTTAATTTTGAATGTTATTTAGAGGCAAGTGTTTAATTTTGAATGTTCTTTAGAGGCTAGTGTTTAATTTTGAATGTTCTTTCGAGGCTAGTGTTTAATTTTGAATGTTCTTTAGAGGCTAGTGTTTAATTTTAAATGTTCTCTAGAGGCAAGTGTTTAATTTTGAATGTTCTTTAGAGGCTAGTGTTTAATTTTTAATGTTCTTTAAAGGCTAGTGTTTAACTTTGAATGTTAATAAAAGGCTTGTGTTTAACTTTGAGTGTTTATTAAAGGCTAGTGTTTAATTGTTGATTATAAAGGTTAGTTTTGATAAGAGGCAAGTGTTTAACTTTAACCATAACCAGGGTTTCTATTGACGCACATTTCCTGCGTCCTTGACGCTAAAATAGTAACCTAGGACCCTTAATTACTCTAAGTGTGCGTCCATGGGGACGCAAATTAAATTTTCCTCCGTAAATATCATTTGGAAATTCTTCCGCTTCTTTAAAGGAAATGACTTAATTTGGTAGACGGGTTCTAATATTGAACACAGCAGAGTTATCTTTCTTTCAATTAATTACAGTTAAATACGGAATAAAACGGCGCACACTAGAATTTAGTCGACCTTAAAAAGCGTCCCAGTCTATGCGTTTTTTGTTCTAAAATAAATCGTAAAACATGTCGGCTGCTCCCCTAATTTTAATGGCTAAGTTAACTTACCCGTGGCTCGTCCAAAACGAGACGACCACGGATATGAAATGCAGCCATTGCGTCTCAACCAAACAATGTAATCCATTTGCCTCGGAAAATGGATGTTTGAACTTCCAAAATAGTAGATACATTTGTCCGTCATCAAGACGTATGTCGGACCAGATGTGAAAGATCTTGACATTATGAAAGTTGCACAAACATTCAGCCAAATGAAAGAAATGAAAAAGTAACAATAAATAATTAATAGTTTATATTTTTTATTTTATTTAACAAGGTCAATAAAAATGCATATGTAGTTGAACAATGTATATTAATGTAAAGAATTAAACCTAGACAATATATATATAAGTAATACCTTACTTTAAAGTAATAAATGATGAGGACCCTCATATTTTTCTCTGGGACCCTCATATTTTATGAGCACGAGTCCCTGGGACTCTTAAATAAAAATTCCTAGTAGAAACCCTGCATAACCAACTTTGGACCTTTTATTCTATGATCAGAATATCAGATTACTACATCTCCAGTACTCCAGTATAAAGTTAGGATAATCATGTAAGATGTTTGAGATGATGACATAAGATCTTGTTATCTTATTTACAGTGTAAATGCTTCGTGACAATCACTGTTTCATAATATTTCCGGTTACTAGGCTTTTTTTCTGGAGTCTGCAATGTTTTATTGATTCTGTCCACTAGAGAGGTGCGTTTTTAAATGATTACCTAAGAATCCATTTGCTTTGAAAACTGTGAAATCAATTAGCATTATCTTTAGATATGATAAAGAGTGGCTATATTATAGTAGAAGTGTTTGTCTTTAAAAGCCTTTTAAATATAAGAATGATAATAAAAGATGTGTTCCTAGTGATAATCTTTGGTAAGGAGAACATTCAAGGCAAGAAATCCTTCACTCATATTAATGTATGACATTTTGATATACAGTGCAAGTGCAACCTCACATAGCAAAACCTCTTTGCAACAATGTTGAGTATTAATTCTAGAAGCTTCCCTGTGTGATCTAAATGGTTCCAGTGGTTTTGACACTTGTTAGTAAAACCAATCAAAAACAAACATCATATCAATGCCACAGAGGTTTAAAGTAGTTTTCTTTCTACTTTTTATCATAAAGTAATGCTTGCACCCATCTGACCATCGTCAAAAGATGAAGAAAGGTTACTGTCTATATATTCTTATATAAATGGTAAATTTAATGGGTCATCATCGCTGTCTGTGCTATATATTGATATGTTCTGAATGCCATTAAAGATTCTGGTTTATATTGGATGACTTTAGAAAAAGAGTATTGATGGTCCTATATTATTTCCTGTGGAAATGGTTTGTTATGTCGTGTTATTTATGAACTTGATTTCAAGGTTGACAATTTCAGTCATTTACTAACCAAGATTTCCACAGGCTGTCTGTTTCTAGTTCAGATTAAAAGCATTTTTATGTCATCTCATTGTAAAAGAACTGTTAAGATTCTGTCAACAAAATGTCCCTGATAAATGATTTAGAGTGTTCATTAAAAGGTGCGTTGCCAGTTGAGGTAGTTTACCTATATGTCTGTTCATAATTTATTATAAATTAACAGTTAGAATCCCAAGAAATGTCTCTGGTTTTCAATTGAAATGGGTTTTTTTGTTGTTTTTTTGACTGAATTTTGTCTTACTTCAGACTTACATCTTTAAAAGTGCTTAAAGGGGCTCTGTTACTCATGTTTGTGTACATATTGAACTCAGGGAATATGTTTGCTCAGTTGGTAGTGTTTGAATGTGAAGCGAGGGACTCTGGTTCGATTCCCAGACAAAGCAGGTCACTTTCCTTGTGTGGATCATGAAATGTATTCTATGATCATTCAGAATGTACCTCTACTCTGTCATGTACAGAATTTATCTTTTATTTGGGATTGTTAAGGCACTAGTTCTGGTAAACTACTTGACCACCAGCCCATGCCAGAAAGATCTGAAGGCAGAACTTTGCTCCTGTGAATTCAAAGTGGCTTGTGCGTGGCTGTGATCTGCAGGTTAAACAAAAACTACCACCACTGATACTGTTGGCAATCTTGACTTGCCTTTAATATGATATTGATTAATTGTTTCAAGAAAATAGAACATCAGACATAAAAATGGTTTTACCTTTGTGCACTGAACAGAATATTGAAAAAAAATTTGAACAGAGAATGAAGCATGTGCATTTCTGTTTCAATGTAACAATATCTAAAAAAAGGAAATGATTCGCATTGGTTGACATAATTATCTACTAAGAACATAATTGATTAACAAAACATAAGGCGGTGAAAGTATTATTTTACAGAAAAATCTTGTTGTTACATTGGCAAATATTGATTGGCAAGGGACTGAGTGTTAACAATTTTCTTCCGTGTTATTCCCGCTACCTTTCTCCTGGGTTTTCAGTCAAAGATTTACTTTAGTAAGGTTATTAAGTGTGATTTATTCATATTTGGCAGAGTTATAGCCCTTTGTTTTTTTCCCCACATAATTATGTACCCCACATTATTATGTACTAGACAGAAGAATATTCATATGCTTTTTGTGAGCATTTTCTCCCATATTTCTTGTGGAATTCAAGCCTTGCCTCAAGGTTATAAAAATATTTTTGGACTCAATATAATTTTTGTACTGGGATCTCATGTATTTGATAGGTCAGAAACTGGTTGCTCAGGTATTTCAATCAAATACCAGAGATCTGAGTTTGAGCTTAAAAATGCCTTATAACCTTTTCATACATTTCTCAAGGAATTCAAGGCAGATTTTCATACATTATTCGAGTTATTCAGGCATGATTTTTACAGAAATACTATTATTATGTGCCATTGTTTTGTTATGTGTTATTTTCACAAAACTGACAATTATTACTGTAACAATTTTATATAACTCTGACAGTTATGCTAGAGGACTTTTACCTTAAAAACTATGCCATTGTGCTAGAGGAAAGAATTATTACTTTGGATATACAAAATTATATGTATCTAAATCAGCAAAGCAGGTTTTAATCTTTTTGGTATTTTCTTTCAGAGGCAAAAGATGAAGAAAGGATTTGCAAGTTTTTCAGTTCTGGTAGAGATTGTTGGAGAGGTGAACAATGTCCATACAGACATATCCTTGTAGAATCAGGTATTTGTAGTAATATCTAAACCCTTGGCATGCTTCCAGCAACAGGTTATACTTGTGCACACAGTGCAGACCAAGATCAGCTGACACTCAAGTGTGCAGTCTGATCACAGGGTTTTCATTCTTATCTGAGGCAACAGATGTGCCAATGAAAATGACCGATTTAGCCAAGGGTCAAGGGATGATACTTTCAAACCGATTCTGCAATTTTCATGTAATTTTGTTGTGATTTATGCTACCGAGGGTTGTGATTAATGCTTCCGAGGGATCACACTTTATCATGATTTTAATCTACAACCAATTTTAACAGCATTTCAACCGATGATATGGATGGCCAATCTGTTGATAATGAAAACCCTGTGATCATGGTCTGCACTCTCCCTAAGAAAAAATAACTTAACCAGATTGAAATATAGACAAGCCCTTTTAAGATAGTTAGCATGGTAAGTGTTAAGTTGTCTGGAACAAATTAAATTTTCACCTCACATTTTATGCAAATGGATGCTTATAAATAGACATTCTTGATGTGAAGGTTTTAGTTGCTAGATATAGAAAATGGACAAAGGTCATAGCATAACTGAAGGTCATGAGTGTTCAGGGTTATCATTATAAGAAGTCCGGTAGCTTTAGGCCAAAATAAATGTGGCATTTTGGCCAGCCATAAAAGACCAAAAAAATGACCATCTCATTTTCAAAAGGGGCCCTCTTAGAAAACCTTTGACAACTCTTAAATGTTCTTTCCCTGTAATTTTGAACTTAAGGAGGTAAATGCATAGATCCCTATATGACCCTTATCTGTTCAATTTGAATTATTTGATTTGTGAATTACAATGAGAATTTGCCTCAAAAAATTTCTAAGCAAAAGAATACAGTCATGTCAAAATTTTGTGGATAAATATATTGTCATTCAAATAACAGATCGATCTATTAATTAATTTTAGAAAAGATAACTGGAAAGTAAATAATGATTTAAGTTTTAGTATTTTCCTACATTGTGATATAAGATAATCTTATAGTCCGACATGTAGATTCTGTATTGTTAGCTGACTGGCTTAAATGTTTCATCTTGATACCCCCTAAAATTGATAATGGACAGTTCTAGAAATGGAAACTGGACAAGTCCATTCAAAAAATTGAACAGGGTAAGGTTTAACACTGATAATAAAGATTACGTCTAGCTATTAATTTGTATTGCAGGAAGGACTTACGACCAGGAACCAGTTTATGCTGTTGGTGACAATCAACAGGAATTTCTACCTCAGATGGGAAATTGGGTTGCTATGGAGATAGCCACTATCCTGTCACCTTGCCATTTCTATGCTATACTGCCGCTGGGAAATAAATCACTTGATACTACAAGCAGCGAGTCGGAAAAGAAAGAAAGTAAGTGGTGTTTTTACATGGACTGCATTTTGTAGATGTTTCCAGGAGCTGTGCAATTTTTAGCTCACCTGTCACAAAGTGAGCTTTTGTGATCGCTTTTCGTCCGGCGTCCGTCCGTCATCTGTCGTCCGTAAACTTTTACTTTAAATGACATCTCCTCATAAACCACTAAGCCAATTTCATCCAAACTTCACAGGAATGTTCCTTTGGTGGTCACCTTTGAAAATTGTTCAAAGAATTTAATTTCATGCAGAACTCTGGTTGCCATGGCAACCAAAAGAAAAAAATTTAAATATCTTCTTCTAAAAATCCAAAGAGCTAGAGCTTAGATATTTGGCATGAAACATCTTCTAGTGAGTGTCTACCAAGTTTGTTCAAATAAAAGCCCTGGGGTCAAAATTGGCCCCGCCCCAGGGGGTCATTGATTTTCCCTATATGCATATAGTAAAAACTTAAAAAATCTTCTTTTAAAGAACCCAAAGAGCTAGAGCTAAGATATTTAGCATGAAGCATGTTCTAATGGATGTCTACCAAGTTTGTTCAAATAAGAGACCTGGGGTCAAAATTGGCCCCGCCCCGGGGGTCATTGATTTTCCTTATATGTGTATAGCAAAAACTTAATAAATCTTCTTTGAAAAAAACCAAATAGCTAGAGTTTAGATACTAAGAATGAAACATCTTCTAGTGAGTGTCTACCAAGTTTGTTAAAATAAAAGCCCTGGGGTCAAAATTGGCCCCGTCCCGGGGGTCATTCATTTTCCTTATATGTGTATAACAAAAACTTAGAAAAACTTCTTTGAAAAAACTCAAATAGCTAGAGTTTAGATATTAAGCACGAAGCATCTTCTAGTGAGTGTCTACAAAGTTTGTTCAAATAAAAGCCCTGGGATCAAAATTGGCCCCGCCCTGGGGGACATTGATTTTCCTTATATGTGTATAGCAAAAACTTAAAAATCTTCTTCGAAAAAACCCATGTGCCCCACACTGTTGTGGGTTTGAATCCGGCTAGAAACTGTAGATTCTTTCATGTTGTCATGTTTAATGCTATCCATCTAGCTTATAGAATATCGGTGGTTCTACTCAGGTGCCCTTTCTTGCCAGAAATGATGCCAAGAGGGGAAACTGAGGTATCTCTCAACTAGTCAAGCTGGAAAGTGCCCATATGACCATAGCATTGTTGATTTGACGTTAAAACCTAACCAGAAAATAAACGTATCCTGGAATTGAGTCTGAAGGAGGAGCTCTTTTACATACATTTGTTTTTATTCATGTAAATAGGATAGGCTTATTTGGGCCACATTTTAGATTCATAACATTTAAGCGCAACATTAAAATGTTAGACTTTATTTAAAGGAGAACAAAAAATATATGTATATATCTGGAATGCGTATGTTTGCTTGCATTTGAAATGACATTTTCAAAATAATACAATGCATATATAGGAAGAAAATTCATTCATGTTGTTTAGTATAATATTGGACAAAAACAAACATGTAGCAGGTGCACTTAGCATGATATTTTGAATGAAAGCAGACGTTTATAAATTTTGTAATCATATTAGACACAAAAAATATATGAGTTATATCAGTCTATATCGTTTGCTATAAATAGACACCTTGTAACGAGATTTCTTTCATGTGAGGAAGCTATCCAGCTAGTTTAAGGAATGTTGGTGATTCTACTAAGGTGCCCCGTTCGTGCCTAAATTAATGCACAGAAGGGTACTGAGGTTTTCCTCCCATCAGTAACACTGGAAAGTAACTACAATACCTAGGTGCAACATAAAACCATGCAAAAAAAACAAAAAACAAAACTGGATAGCATTTCTTATTTGGCGTTGGTAACTTTCGAAAAAGAGTAAAAAAATATTTATTCCTTATAAGAAGGCTGGTGGCAACAAAGTCTAACCTTACCACCAGTACAGACCGAGATCAGATTTCACATCTGATCATTGTTGGTGCTGTTTAGTATTCAGTCAGTATATTTGAATTTTTCCTAAAAAATCCTAAAAATTATGAATAGTTTTGTTGAGATTGAACGATGAACAAGTCTGTTTAAGATAGATAGCAGTTGGTAAGGGTAAAAGTTTGCTATTTTGTAAGTATTAAATGTGGGAATGTTGGTTTAGTGGTTAAAATGTTTCTCTCACTCCAGGGATTGTTGGTTTGAGCCCTACTTGTGTAAGGACCATGTTTCTTCATAAAACACTAGAACTGGTTAGTTCCAGGAAGCCGGTCGAGAGGGGTTTAGATAATTATGTTTCAGGCTTTTTTACAGAATCCTGCTAAAATAATGTTTAAGTACAAGCAAACTTTCACGTTAATATTGTATCTCACATGTGATATTTCAGCATAATGAAAAATGAGATAAATCACATCTGATGTAATATTGTCATATGTTATTAATGTATTTTAGCAGGTGCGTTTGGAGTATCGGGAAATGAAGAAACTTTAGATGACCTTCTAGAAGCCCTAAAGTAAGATTTCTATTTTATATGATTGGATGAAATAAAGCATAATGTTACATCATGTTACATAAAATTATTTTTTTAATGAATGAAGAAAGTTTTGACATTATCGGCTTGTTTATTATAGAAGAGACATATCTGCGATTGGTATGATATTAATTTGGAGCAATGCAAAATTATATACCAGATGATAATCCAGATGAAAAATTGTTACTATGGCAACAGTGATTTGTCTGATAATTTGAGATCATGATGATTTTATTATGCCCCCACAGAGTGGGAGCATATAGCATTGCACTTGTCCGTCCGTACGTCCGTCCGTCTGTCCGTACATCCCAAAATCTTGTGAACGCAACTCCTCTTAAACCGGATGGCAGATTTTGCTTAAACTTCCAGGGATGAACAACCTTAATGTGTAGATGGTAGTAAAGGAAGGAATTTTCGCTGCGACCAAATTTAAGAGAATTATGGCCCTTTGTTGATTTTTTCACCATATACCATATAGAAATTTTGTGAACGCAACTCCTCTTAAACCAGATGGCAGATTTTGCTTAAACTTCCAGGGATGAACAACCTTAATGTGTAGATGGTAGTAAAGGAAGGAATTTTTGCTGCGGCCAAATTTAACAGAATTATGGCCCTTTGTTGATTTTTTCACTATATACCATATGGGCGCCGTCATGACATTTTGTACCTTCGGACAAGTTTTTCAAACACCGGTTAAAAGTCCGCGAAATTGTTCGCAGTTTATGACGGCTTTTCAAGTACCTTGTTGTCGCTAGATCATGATTTTCCGTGTTTTGTAGGCGGAATTTAGACACCATGTCTGAGAAGAATGATTTTCAGGTATTTTTGTATCTTTTTATGATTTAAAAAACAAAAAATACAAAGATTTAAAGTGCAAAACTAGATTTTTTAATTTTTTTTAAGATGTTGCGTCTGCTGTCAAATTTGACAGATGATTTGAGCGCTTCAGTTAAAAAATGAGTTTATTTATGGTGAAATCATGTTTTTATTCGTCAACTTGCATCCTGCATGTAATATATAGAACAAAGTATTTAGCAGTTTAAGTTTAAGATGCAAATTTTATCGAATAATCCCGATTTTCAGTGGTTTTACTTCATAGCAACAGTATATACAAAGGAATTGCCTCCCTTCATAACATAGTTACAGACCAAGAGTAATCGTTCATGTTATCGATCGATTTACTGTACTATGGAATTATAATAATACAATCAATACTAATGTCTCTGTAGCGCAGTCAGGAGAGTGAAGGACTGACGACTTAGAGGACCGAAGTTCGAAACCTCGCACCTCCTTTTTTTTTTCTTTTTTAAATTTTCTTTATGGTATGCATAGAGTAAATAAATTGTACATGTAACAGTGCTTCATAGATATTTTGTAAGAAGGGAAGAAATATTTTTTAAGGAATAGATATATTACCTCATTTACTATCTTACCTGAGTTATTTTAACTGGATAACTGGGACAACATATAATATCATTTTATATTTTATTCTAGATTATATCGATTATAACTATCATCGATCATACAATTTTATCAAAAGATTATTATTATTATTTTTTACTTTATTTTAACGCAGGAATTAGATGAGTTATATGAGGAATTTGGCATTGTTAATGAGACAGTCGAGAAGGGGCCACATGCACATGTAACAGAGGACGAATTAAATGGTGATTGGGGAGACGATGATGACGACCAACATGCAGAGTCAATCATAGGGCGTGTCCATGAGTTTGTCTACAGTGCTGCAGAGAACATGCCGGAAGGATCAGATGAGGAGAGGGGCGAGGGCGATTTAGAATCAGAGTCGGACGATAATGATGTCACAAGTGTACAATGTAAGTGTAAAACCAATTGTTTGACGCAGTTTGATGCTGAACACATTCAAGGGCATATTTTGTCTCTCAGGGAAATGGAGAAAGACCAAAAGGAGATGTTTGTTATGGGAAGTCTGTTGAAAATAGGTGCACAGGAAACCAGGAAAGGTAAACGTAAACGAGTTAGATATAGATATACATTTGATGGCAAAACTGTCTGTAAATCTGTGTTCTGCCACGTTAATGATATTGGGCAGAGGACTGTTAAATCTTTACTGAAACATTTAAATTCAAATGGACCGGTGCCGCGAATACATGGGAATACCGGGAGAAAGCCAGGCCATGCAGTTAAGTACGAGGACGTGCGTTTCTGTGTTGATTTCCTGGTATTATATGCAGAAATCAACGGGTTATCAATGCCAGCAGCACCACGCGGAGCAGACGAGGCTGCACCTGTTCTATTACCATGTAATACTACAAAAGTGGATTTACATTCAAAATACCAACAAGCATGTGTAGAAGCCGGCGTAAGAGTTCTTGGTATAACTACATTTAAATGTGTTTGGAAGCAATGCCTTCCACACATTAAGATAATGACGGCAAAAGATGACGTTTGTCATAAGTGCGAGATGATAAGGAAAAGGGTGGCTGATGCTATACATGAGGTGGACAAACTTGAGGCAGCAAACGCTTTACGAGAACATATACAGGTAATATTAATTATATCATACTGACTTCCATCTACAAATATGCGTTACTAAAATTTAAAATCCGTTCGACAGCGGAATTTAATCTGACTTTAACACCTATTACGCTTAATTAATCAAAACAAGTCTGCAATTTTCATGTCATTTTGTTGTTATTAATGCTTTCAAGGATCACCTTTTTCCAGATGTTTATTAGTAACACTGATTTTTCCTTGCAAAGTTCTTGCGGTAATTATTTGTCTGCGTAATGGAACCATACTTTTGAAATTATTGACATATCAATTGAATTATAGTTTGATACATGTGATACAAAATTTGCTATAAACAACTTAACATTTATTAAGATAATATTTGTGTTAACTAGCATTACATGTTTATAGATATTTTATTGTAAGGTTAATAATTATAGAGTTGGAGTGATTTGTTTATATTTTTGTTTATTTACACAAACTATGTAGGATGCCCAGAGGGAGCGACAGGTTTATAGACAGACTATAGAAGAGGCTCGTGAGGAAATGAGGCACACATCAGTCACAGTCAATCGACCTGCCCAGGCATGCACTAGTGATTTATCAAAAGTGCACTATACTTTCGACTATTCTCAAAATGTGACTATACCACACCATAGTCAACAAATGGGCCCTTTGTATTTTGTTACTGGCAGGAAAATACAAATTTTTGGCGTCCGTGTTGATTCTGTGTCACAACAATATAATTACCTTATAGACGAGGATGAATCAATTGGTATGTTAAGAATAAATAAATAAATAAATAAATAAATAAATATAATTAAATAAATAAGTAAATAAATAGATAAATAAATAAATAAATAAGTAAATAAATTTAGCTTTTTTTCTATCATTGTCTATAATAGAGATATTTTGCTTTTCAGTATTGTAAAATATTAATTTCATATAAACATATAATAAATAAAATGTCATTTTAAATGTGTGTTGTCGAAATATGAAATATACTTAGAATTAATGTAAATTAACAGGTGCTGATGGTACAGGAACTCACGGGCCAAACTCAGTTATAAGTATGCTACATCATTGCCTCGAAAACCAGGGATTTGGAGAGAAAGCTTGCGTCATGCACGCCGACAACTGTGGTTGTGAGTATTTTTCCGTATTTGTGTTTTTAATTAAATAATAGTATAGCATTGAACATTCCGTTTTATATTCAAAATGCTACATTTTACAAAGCATAATTTTTAATTTATAAGTTTTAGTTCAAATGGTGAAATAAAAATATATTTTTTATTACAGCGCAGAATAAAAATCGCTTTATGTTAGCGTATCTGGCATGGCGAATTCATATGGGGCTCCATGATGAGATAACACTCCTGATGGGAATTCCTGGTCATACAAAGTAATTTATATTTTTAAGTTTTATTTTATTTTATACTCGTATAATGCGAACTTATGTATTTTAGTTTATGACAGTCCTCTACAATAATTCTGGTCGGCACAAAACGAGCATTTGCTATTTTTTATGTGTTTAAATATGTATGTGCTTGCACACCAGCGGGCATGTTTTAGACAATCTGGCCATTAGATTAAAATTAAAACACTGTCGAACAAATCGATTATTCCAGAACAAATCTACTTGCAATCATTATGTTCCTATATAAATAAAAATAAAATCAACATAAACTATAAATAAGCAATTTTTGATATAGTTTTTTATTCGATTTCAGGTGTCTTGTGGATGGAGGATTTGGACATATCAAGAAGCTGTATAGGCGCACGGACTGCGACAGTATTTCGCAGGTGGCATCTGTCGTGAGAAAGTCTGCTTCAAGCAATTTCCCCGTGCTCTTCCGCAAGGAGGATGGATGTCAGAATTGGACTTGGTATTCTATTACAAATATTTGAATTTCTAAAATTTACACCCCATTTAAATAAGTTTGTACAATAAAACAGCAAAACAAATTAATAGAGAGCTTAATTCGGCCTCGGCATAAATGCTGGCATATTACTTGTACGTGTATTAATACCTGCTTGTCATTGTAAAATATCAAGTAATTTATGACTGACATATTATTAACTACGTAATACATATATTACAGGTATGACTGGAAGACATTTCTGCCGCGTTTCTTTTTACCATTACGGGGTATACAGCGCTATCACGCTTTCCGTATTACGAAGGATGCTATATACGTGAAAGAACGCTCAACTGACGTAGAGCAGCGGGTCACAATCCTGAAGAGAAATGCTTCAGTACCAGCAGATATTCTCCCTGCAGTTTTGCTACCGGGTGGACTTTCCCGCGCAAGGCAGCAATATCTGTACAAGAATGTACGACCTTTTGTACGTCAGGCGTACCGTGATGTGACGTGCCCACCGTTACGGGAAGAATGACAATTTAGATTTGAATGTACAAATGTATACATGCATTATCTTTGACTGTGTGTTTAGTCCTTATATGTGTTATCAATAAACTAGATATTATTTGA